GGTAGGGAAAACATTTTATTTTCTTGAAATATTTTATTTACGACCATGTCTGAAGATGTGCGTTGTGCCTTTTGAAGCAGCGAACTGTCCAATTAAATTTTTTTTTTTTTGACTTCAAAGAAAAAATTGACAATAAAATGTTTAGGGTCGCTGGGAATAATAGGGTCGGTCAGGGAAACCTAACCACACCTATATTTTGTTTTGGCCTAAGAGATATATCATTATTGGAGTTGTGGAGTCTTTACATTTAAACATAAGACGGCGAGCTGGTGTGCTTTTTACACATGAACCACTGAGCTATAAGATATCGATATAGCAATTTGGACTTTGTCTTAAACATATATATGACAAACAGTGTATGCATTGATTTAATCATAAACTAATAAAGATAGATGTTTTTTTAACCTTGATATCAATTACCATACACATATTACCGCGGACCTTGAGAACTAGTTATCACTATCATTATAAACATTATTTACAAAAAAACAATTTTTATACATTCTGTATAAGATATACAACGAATGAAAAAAATATGCACGTTATCATCATACTAGATATATATAATTACGATTGCTGTTGGATGTGATTCTTCCAGATTAACAATAACATATAATGCTCAATAACAAAAAATTTTGCTGGCAGTTTTTTTCAAACTAGGGAGTAGTCCAGCAAACACTGTTCCATAATATGCATTATTCATATAGTAAAATATGATTAGGGTGATCTATTGGCCATCTACACACATTGACCATTATTGGCTTGCATTTGTCGTGACTGGTTAGTGACAGGTAAATATATTTTTGCCACATAAATAAACCATGCTAAGCCACGCATTACAGATGTAAACAAGCTTTGTTTTTACAAGCTTTCAGAGCTTTAGCCACCCATTTACCAAACATGCATGTGTATAATGTACACCGTACACTTCAGTATTGCCACGCTACTAAGCAATAGCATGAGCATCACTCTTATCAGGGACGACACATTAAATTAATCCCACCTCAATCAATCTGTGAAGTTTCTTTGAATAGGCGGCGGTGATGCTTGCAAGACCCTGAAAATAAAATTCATCTGTATTATTCTACAAACCAGGGACACCACATATTGGCCTGAATTTAATTACATTGCACGCCAGTATTGTGTGAGTCTAACGTTATAGTGAGCAGTATCAATCTAGGAAAGGCTGCTTATCGTGAATTTGTATACGATACATGACATACACTATGTGTACACGATATCGAATGCATATCGATCCATTTTAGAACGCACCTTCTAAAGATCTTGTGACCTGAAGAGCGAAGGATTTCAAACAGCTTGCCGATTCTGCGGATCGCGCCAGTACTTCTGCAACCGTCTTCCATTGCCATATACAGTTTCATTTGTTCCTGCTCTTCGGCGCTGGGCCTCATGGGTCATGGGAACGATTCCACAAACATTGTCCGCACCCTTGTATCTGAGATGTTGAATATATTCTGAAGATCTTTTCTCTCGCTAACCATTGGAAAATGATCGCCTGTGGGGGAAATGATAGAACGTCAAATAAACGGTGTGATTAATCAGTAGCCATTGCAGTTTCTTACCATAACTAAAAGAGGCTTAAACCCCTTAGTCAATTCATTTTTCTGATAAAATCGAAACAAATAACTGACCAATTTTAGTAGTCAGTGTTGATCAGCAATACTTTGGTCCCTTCAAAAACCACTAGTTATTCAGTGAGGTATGCGCCCCGAGTTTGCATAAAATACAGAACAAATTGATTTGTAATAAGAAAGACACAGTTACTGAAACAGAATTACAAAGGAAAAATCCATTACTCATTTGCTAGTAATTAACTACTTATTTACCATGTGCTCTAAAATACTACTAACTTTGATTAAGGGAAAATGCATTCTCATGAAAAAGCCAAAAAAAACGAAAAATACTGATGCAACATTATTACCGGTGAGTACTATAGATCTGTAGAAACTACGTAAATCGATTCTGTACCAATGTAAGGCAGAAAACTGTTGAAAAAGTTGCTGCACCTTATCATTGGCATTATTGTGCCATTGCCTGCTTCTGGATTAGTTTGGAACTTGTGCATGGCAATTCGAAAATCCTTGGATCTTTCATTTTCTTTGCCAAACAAGGTTCTTCCTCTATCCGTGACAGCAAATTATCTGTCATCATGCTGTAATTTAAACATTGCTATATATCTATCTCTCTCGTCACTAGATCATATATCAATGGATATACATATTAAGCATCATGGATATAGTAAGAACTTGCTTTTAGGAAACGTTACATATCTCGATCTCGTAGAACTAACGTGATGTTTTATAATGGCTTCAAGCCTCACGATACAGGAAACAACAAAGGTCAATTTTATTACCAGATGAGATGACTTGTGTACACTTTATAAATACCATTGCCTGGATGCGTGGCTGTGTCATCCTTTAATGCTCCATGAACTTCTGTATGTAGAATGGGTCGATTTCTTGCACAAGGAGTTTGAGCATTTAGGCATTTGATGCTTATTAGTTCGAGTTTGCTTCTTGGAGTGGGAGGAAACTTTGGGCAAACCACCAAATGTGTCTTCTCACACTTCTTTCTTGGAAACTTGATGGCATTTGCTTCTAAAACCAGCGTCATTGAAACAGAGAAAATTTTTTCAGACCTAATCGCTAAATATCTTTTACTCCCTTCCCCTCCCCCCCTCTCTCACTTGACTTCAGTTTTCTAAGTTTCCCCTCTTTCTCATGTGTGTTCTTCTCCTCTAAACCCGTACTGTCCTTCTCCTCCTCTCCTCTTTCTTCGTCTCTCTCTCTCTCTCTCTCCTCTCTCTCTCTCTCTCGTACTCCTCGTATCTATCGCTCTCTCTCTCTCATCTCTCTCCTCTCTCTCTCTCTCTCTCTCTCTCTCTCTCTCTCTCTCTCTGTCTCTGCTCTCTGTCTCTGTCCTCTAGTCTCTGCCTCTGTCTCTGTCTCGTGTCTCTGCTCTCTGTCTCTGGTCTCCTGTCTCTGTCTCTTGTCTCTGCTGTCTCGTCTCTTCTCGTCTCTGATCTAAGGTCTTGTCTCTGTCTGTTCTGGTCTCGTCCTGCTTCCTCTCATGTCTCTCTCTCTCTCTCTGCTCCTCTTCTCTCTCCTTCCTCTCTCTTCCTCTCGCTCATCCTCTAGCTCGTCCTCTCGCTCTGCCTCTCTCTCTTCTCCTCTCTCTCTCTCCGTCTCTCTCTCTCTCTCATCTCTCTCGCTCTCGCTCTCGCTCTCTCTCTCTCTCTCTCTCTCTCTCTCTCTCTCTCTCTGTCGCTCTCTCTCTCTCCCCCTCACTGCATCTCTGCATGTATGTTTGTCTGCCTGCCTGCCTGCCTGCCTGCCTGCCTGTCTTTCACTCCCCCTTTCTTCCTCTCTCTCTCCCCCCTTTTCCTTTGTTATCACCTTTGCAGCAGACGCCGTCTGCGACTGTGCATCATATTTATTAGTAGTCGTGTCCACCTTGTCTCTGTCGCCTTTCTTTATATTCAATGACCTTGTCCTTGTAGACAACCAATCAGCTACAGCAGGCACATCCTCCAGTGGCGGAATATCTGTGGAGAAGTCTACTGACTACGAAATTATAGAATACAGTATCACGAGGACACAAGTGTCTCATTTTTTTTTTTTTATTCTACCAGCTACAGCATACTATACCTAGTACCGCTCATAGGGCCTATGTCCCCCAGGGTACTGCCAGAACGTACCCTGGTAACTATTTGATATGGTTAGGGTTAGGGCTAGGGTTAGGGTTAGGGAGTAGGCGTAGGCGACTCCCTAGACTCGTTAGTGGAGTAGGCGAGGTACGGCAGGGGTCGAAATTAGATTTTTATTATGGTATCCATTCAGGATACCAGGTATTGAAATCTGGTATCTCCCCCAAAGACTGGTATCCCATTTTTTGAATAGTAGCCTAATTTCAACAATGTTGGTATCAAAAGGTTTTTTTTCGCGCCAATACCGGCGTACGGGCCGCATTCTCAGCGCATGCATTTTGCATGCGATCTCACGAAATTTCAATGAACCCCGGCCGTTCTGTCCCAATATAATAACCCTCACCAAAATATAAAAAAGGTTATATTGTTATATGGCCATTATGATAATGGGACAGAATTATTCGGTCTAATTCTAACCCTAGCAATAGCCTACCGACCGTTTCTTGGAGCTACATATCATGACATATGTACCCATCGCGGAAGGTACTATTAGTATTACTAGTCTAGTGAGTAGTGGCTGTAGGCCTAGTGCTTAATTAACATCATCACTGTAAATATTTATTATTATCCCAATTGTATTATTAATTGTTATGAGGTTATTTTTACCACGTTGGGCCACACACGTACCTTTATCATCAGCCATCTCTCTGAAACGCTATCTGTGTGTTGCTATGGATACGAGATGAGCGATGCGCATTTGTTAAAAACAAGTGAACAGACACCTCACATGTTAGAGTGAAATCACAAAGTTCAATCACGCCTATAATCACAAAATTCAATCGTTCTAGTACGTGAATCGCTTTCGCTGTGGCTATGCCTAATTATTATTTTCTACTAATTTAACCAGCTGCTAAAGGAATCGTTAAGAAATAAGACATCATGGACGTGTGGCATAATCAGTAGTAGGTTTGTATTAAAAAAGATGTCGTAAATTTACATGTGCTAGACCTAGGCCCCCTAACCGTGTTTACTTTTACTGTTTTAGGTACGCCCGTACGGTACTAAGTCACGTGCGTCGAAACTGAGCATGCAATATTCCAATAACACTATTAACAGTACATGTACAGACTGATTTGCGTTTTCACTTTACTTTAGGCTTAGCATGAATGCACTGCTCCAGGTTAACATTCCTGAATGAAGGATTTATTAAGAATATTTGTCGGAGATTTTTATACAAATTAGTCAAATATATTTTTGATGAAGTGACAAATGTTTATATGTCCTTTTTTACACTCTTGAACCTTTGACGCTCTTGACCTCTACCTCCAGCTTGACATCCCAACCGTTTTCGATTACCCCCCACCAATCCTCGAATATCGTGACTTAATCGTCGAGCGTTAGAATTTGTGCCAGACTGTGTTGAACGGACGGACGACGCTCGAGCGACGCTCGTACGACGGACGGACGGACGGACGATCATGCGATCTACAAGCTGTCCTCTGAACTATGTCATGATGAGCTAAAAATCCTTTTAATGGCATTTTTATAGAACTTTTATTATTATTATAATAATTATCATCATTTTTAACATTATTACTCCTCAGTCAGCACCTGTCAATTGATTACACAAACACACACATGTGCTCACCCAGACTGGCAGGGGAAAATCAGCAAGGTTGTCCATTGCTTCATGATGGCGGACTTGTCTTTCCAGTTCCTCCTAGGAATATCACTTCTGAGAAAGCCCCAGGCCCAGCCAATGATAGGAAATATTAGTATCTTTTGCCATAAATCTTGAGCTCTTACTTACAAGAACAAAAAATAGCAAAAATATTTGCGTCACTGATAAAATTTCATCAACGATCATTCTGTTTTTTTTTGCGGTTTACGTAATCGGAAATGGAAGAGCTACCGGAGCATGCCTATACTTATGCCACTGAAGACTAACCATGGACATGCTATAGCTTATTGTCCACTGAAAGACTAACATGAGCATCTATATCTTATCCACTGAAGATAACACGGAGCATGCTATAGTTTATGGCCACTGAAGACTAACATGGAGCCATGCTATAACTTACCACTGAAGACTAGAATGGAGCATGCTATACGTTAATCCTCCATCTGAAGAACTAACATGGAGCATTGCTTAACTTATCCATCTGAAATACATCGAACATCGTATACTTATGCCACGACGACTACATGGAGGCATGCTAATATTATCCACTGAAGACTAACACGGGACATGCTATACTTATGCCACTGAAGATTGCTCACTGATATGAGGCATGCTATACTTATGCCAGCTTAAGACTATCATTCGAGGCATGCTATAACTTATTCGCCACATGAAGAACTAACATGGAGCACTGCTATACTTATGCGACTGTAAGACTAACATCGAGCATGCTATACTTATGCCACTTGGCAAGACGTAAACACGGACGCATCTATATCTTATGCCCACTGAAGACTAAAATAAGGGCACTGACACCCTAGTGTTTGCAGCGCCTCACACCAGCATCCAACGCATCAACTACATCAATTCTCAATAGGAATGGTTCAGATGACGATGCACATGTTCCGTGCCGTAGTATTTTGCATCAGCTTCATTGTAACACAAGTGTGATATCGGCATCAGCCCACCATCTGCCATGGACAGCACTAGTATACTGTAATAGAAGGAGACTTTTGCAGTCCGCTGCTTCAACCGTATGCGTGTTCCGACTGTGTAACTTCGCCACACAAACCTCAAACTCGTGGAAAACGCTCGATCGAAACTAGTTACGAATAATCCTACGGTCGACTTGTGAAGTATTTGGACTTCCCAGTGCGTGCGGAACGATTATCATCGACACGTACAGTGACCCACAACTCACTGCTAGCATATGAGCAGTTATGATTTTAGGGTACAGTTACACCTATGCAGTTGTTTCCTGCCTGGCCAAAACAGGTCTTGTGAGTGTAGTAAACTATTTTTCTTTTGCTGTATTGCCGCGTTTACGAAGTCTAGCAAAGCGAACACCTGCAGGTGTCGCCCGAGCTAGGGGGATCTGTGAAATTTTCCCGACATTTTTGAAAAATGGTGCCAATTTGTACTATTCTAACTATTCTGTGTGCATAATAAGGGCATGTTGTAGATGACAAACATTGATTTTCTTCAGCGGCAGTAGTTTTGGACAAATTTTCTGTGTGGCGGCAGAGAATTTTGATTCGCTCGTGTCAATGCAGGGAAATACGGCCTATTAGCAGACATTTCTCCGGAATAAAACCAGCTATCAAGTAAAGGACTAATTTGTGTATTCCATGAGTGCCTGATCAATATACAGACTTGACAATGCGCAAATACAGGTCATTTAATTCTTTTTCGTATTGTTATTTAGTATAGTACTCCTTGCAAAAGACAATATAACGATAATTCAAGCATCTTTTACTTACGTATCTCCTAGTGTTGAATAGTGAGAGTTTTTGACTTGATTACCTATACACTACTTCTTGGAAATGGGCCATTTACCAACAGCAGGCAACATAGCTGACAGGAGGGTATCACTATTAATCCACTAAATAATCGACACCGTACCTGCAAAAAAATGTATCACTATGAAAACAAGTACATAGTGTATAACTTTGCTATTCATAGATACTATATCTGCTTACTAAAGATACACATATGTAAATATGTATATATAAGTAACAACTACAATGGTATGCAATACACTAAACCAGCCTCTGGGCCAATGTTAACACTATACCCGCAATGAAAATGATAAACAAATGCTATCTATTTTTCATTCTGGAAACACATCTAATTTAAGCATGTGAAATGTTGACTACTACTAAACACACTCTAATACCTCTAGTCAATCTTACTTTTTTTATGTCTCATGATCAGATGCATTTATACCAAACACTAAAACAGTTGTGGAAGAAACAATGTCTGACTGAGGCGTGAACCCCATGATAGTAGCTATAATGGGCTGAGCATACTCCAACCAACCTTCGGCCACGGCACAACGCCAACTGGACGCGAAACAATTTGCTGAAAAAGATCAAAACGATAGTTAAGATTCTCATCGAGTTAATTAAACTTGATTCACGTAGGATCGATTATATAATCAATTTACTTCAGTCGTAGTTTTCAACTAACACTTACTAATGACAATTCCAGTTATGTATAGCGATTGTCATTGGAACCAGTGCGCACTGAAATTCACCGAATCGACTTTATTTTGTAGACTTTGGATCGTAATGTCACGCATTCACACAATTTGACGACTGCAAGCTAGGGGTGGCTTACATGTCAGAGGCCCTTAGTACCTCATCTTATCTCTCTCCTGATACTTTTAATCAGAGCTTGTACTCACAAACCCAATTAAACATTAGGCCAAGCCCCCTTTACAAAACATGGAAATCATTAAACTATCGGTTTATCATCCAAACCAACATGCCTAGCTTTACTGAACTATTTTAGATAGTATTTATACGTGATACATATTCATGCAATAATTCAATACAACATAAATAAAGAAATTCTTGCACTATGGACGCCACACTCATAGCTATTTTATTGGGTGTTATTATCTTGACAACTCTATTATCATATTGTCAATCAATCAGAGAAATGTACGGCATAAGCAATAGAAATGTTTAGCTGTCGCCTAAAGTTGTGTTTTGTAAATTAGTTTCCTTACAGAGCCTTAGTTATCTCATGAGACCTGCTTTAGGGTTGATGGCGACATGTAGGTATCACCACAACCATCAAATTTGATTAAGCTACTCAAACAACATATCTAACGAGCGTCACTGAGGCATCAACTGCATCAGAGACACCTGCTTCAGTCCCAGCATTATACAATCATTCATGTATCCTTAAGTATAAGCTCGCTCAGGAACCGTCAAGGAATGCTCATGTTGATATAACAATCGTAACATGCGATATATGGCAAATTACGAGGGTTTTCATGGAAACCGATTACCGTGAATTAAACGTCCTGTGTTAATTGGTGTTCATTTGCTTTTCTCTCAGAACACAAAGATAAACATCAAGTCGTTGCCATGCAAATAAAAACACCTTAAATGATACACTGCCATTATACTTTGGTGGCCACCTACTACTATACATTATAGTGGAGGTATACGTACGTACTTATGTAGGGGGAGTATCAAAACTGCACACTCTACGTTGAACCCTATGACTTAGTGTATACTATACTCAATAGTTCCATCTAGGCTATATTTGTTAACGATATTGACATCAAGTCAACACGTGAGTTAAAAGATCTTATACTATTACATTCATTATTATTATCATCATTAATTGAATTCCTGTGACCGCTGCATTGCTTCAAGTGGTTGAGTGCTTCCTCGTATGTGGAAGTCGGGGGTTTCAACGCTCCGGCCGGGTCATACCAAGACTTGAAAAAAGGTACACACAGATTCTCCTGCTTGCATTTCAGCAAATAGAGATAGAGTGTGGCCAATTAACGTCGCATGCTTATCCAACTACCAGTGGACTAACCCCCTCTGTAGCATTTACTGTGAAAGCAAGCTGCAGGCGTCAGGGTTACGCTGAAACGGAGATAGGCAACCCGCCAGGGCTCGAATTAAAGCGACGAAGAAGGGCAAGGCAATCTTTTTTTAGGGGCATGTGAGTAAATCGCCTGAATTTTCTGCTAAAATATAAAGGCACCAAGGCAACTCTCAATATTTAGAAGGCACAAGGCACTTTTGTAAAATAAAGGAAAACTCATAACAAATTTAGTACATCAACATCGTCTTGCTTTTAATGTACAAAACAATTAATATGCCCCCATGTAAGCTTACACCGTAACACCGACCCTGTATGCACCTCTGCTAATGAAGTACAGTAACATAGAAATTTTACATGCCCGCTATCAGGAGCGAATAATTATCCGATGCTGTTATTATTCCCTCCTGGCGACTATCGGTTTTAGCTTCATCATTGCAAGTACGCACGCACGCGCACAGGTGTTATGTTGATTTGACTAAAAACGAAACTAGGGCAGTAGATTAAAGGGCACCGACGGCAATTACACAAAAGGACAGGCAGGTGACTGCCGTCGGTCGGGTTGGATTTTCAGTGCAGTACGGCGATTGATAGGGGCACGACGGGCAATTGCTGTCGGTGCCGTCGGTTAATTCGAGCCCTGGGCACCGCCCTATGCGCCATGTAGCTATACGCTACACGTATGAAGGCGCGGGAAGGATTTAACTTAATCCATTTCCTGTATTTATATGTAATAAACATTTGTCACTTCATCAAAAATATATTTGACTAATTTGTATAAAAATCTCCGACAAATATTCTTA